AATCAATAATCCTGTTTGCATTTTCATTTTCTTCTTCAAGACTGCTCATCCTTTTACTTAATTAAAATGAAAAAGATTTATTTTTCAAAATGTAGCCGAGCAAATAGATACCAAAATTCAATTTGAAATGTAAACTTTGAAAATGTGGCTGCATTGTTTGACTCAACAAGATGGGTAGCCCGGTCAGCAAGGACCTGAGGAAAAGCGGCTGCTGACGTCACTATGCTGCGCCCGCCGCTCAGAATGCTTTTTCGTTTTCAAGTTATGGACAGTACTTTGCTGGCAGACCATGAAAACGAAAAAGCAATATCCGCTGTGTTTTCTCCTTGATTATGGCATAAAATGTGCAGTTTTAAAGAAGAAAATGCAAATACGATGATTGATTACTAATTTCATTTATGAGTCAAACAATCCAGCCACGTTCTTAAAATGAAAAAGCATTTCTGGAAATGCTTTTTCATTTTCAAATTGAATTTGTGTATGTATATGCTGAGGTACATTTTGAAAAATAAATCTCAAATGTCTTTTTCTTTTTCATTTTGATTAAATAAAAGGATAAGCAGTGTTAAAGAAAAAAAATGAAAATGCAAACAGGATGATTGATTACTAATTTCATTTATGAGTCAAACAATGCAGCCACATTCTTAAAATGAAAAAGCATTTCTGAAAATGCCTTTTCATTTGAAATATGGTAACGATTTGCTTCCATATATATCTATATATATAGATATAGAGGGGAAAACTCAGGCACATGATAACTGTAACTGTTAGGAGATTTAAAAATGATGCAAAAAATAAGAACAGTTTTTTCAAACTTTAATTTTTTTTCCCCATATTTCCATGTAAAACATGTTTTTTTTCTTGCAACAATATTGCGCCAAAATTAATTCAATGTTTTTCTAAATGTCTGCACTTTGTCCTAGACAAAACCCCCAACTAAAATTGTTATTTTACATATGACTAATTATTTATCGACTGACACCACTATCACTACAAATGAAAACGATAGCCAGTATGGTTTTTAGTCTCTGTGGCAACCTGTCCATGGAGAACTCTGCTTTTTGCAGAAGAAAGATGGATTTTTAAATTTCGGTTTTACAAATGGAAAAGAAAAAAAAAAACTTGATTATTACAATTTTGTGATCTCATTATTGAACTGAAAAAATAAACACTCACAGATCCCCCTTTATGGTGCTTTTTTCAAGAAATATGAGCAAAATAAAACAGACAGAAAGCAGTTTATTGATATAAAAACAATAAATGTGTCTTTTGGAAGAAGCAGCAGTTCAGTTCCCCAGTCGTCTGGTTGTTTGCAGTAGCTGCCTTTGATACAGGAAACATGACAGGATCCCATCAGGGGGCAGCATGACTTCTCATAAAGCAAACAAGTTATCATCGACTTTCACTGATATTTCTGTTGATTCTTTCCATGCGTAGCTGATTGGCAGTGGGCGCCCGTCTGTGTAGAGTGTAAACTCTGTAGGAAACATAAACCAGAGCTAACTAAAGCTGCATGTTAGAGGCTGATTTTCAGCTTCCCATTATAAACTGAGTGTTGGTGCAGGTCAGCCTTTATCCAAGGATTGCAATCAGTTATACGCTCCTTCATGTCAACCTTTACAAGTTTCCCTCCAAAAAAATCCACTGAATTTTGTTTCAAAGTTTGAAGATGTTTTGCTTCCCATCCAGGAAGCGTTTTTTTTGTGAAAAATGTCAAGTTTCAAGTGAATTTTAAAAGTAATTTGTTCCATGTTTCTTATTTCAGTCATGATTTTAATCCAGTTTGAAATTGTGGGGGCTGACTGTGTCATCCATTTCTTAATATGGCTTTTTTTCCAGCAGCAAGCATTATATTCAAAGGTATTTGTTCACTGTGTCCATTGTCGATGTTTTCAGTCCAAGGTACATGGTCATGAAGTTGAAAGGGATGGTGACGTTATAAACAGTTTGCATTACATTGTTCATGTCTTTCCAATATTTCTGGATAACTGGGCATTCCCAAAACAAATGATAATGATGCGCCTTTAGGCACCCACACCAGGAAGCGTTTTCAATTCAAAATGTCAGAAATAGCGTTGAGTATGAGGCTTTATAAAGAGGACCAAAAAACAAAGCCTTGTTTTGGATTAGAAAACATGCAAACTGAAACGAACAAAGGGATCCACCCCTTAGGAATGGGGGTCGTTTGGGCTCTTTGTTAGCCTGTATTGCCCGATACCCGTCTATGTCTCTAAAAAGGAGGGTCGTTAAAGGGAATCGTTGGACTGGCTGAATACGCGAGGTCTTCTGTTCCCCTGTAAAGAGGTTGGGGTTGCGATGATAGCAGGAAGGAATCAACTCTATCGCTGCATTGTAGGTTTATGAAAGCTGAAATCTGAGTCCACCCCCTCTGTTTAAGTTTGGTTTTTCTTTCTTAACATAGGGCTTCCTTCACTCCCCTCTCAAAGCACCTGTCTTCTTTGTCCAAAACGGGAACAATCTGGTCCTCAAAAGAATGTCGATGAGGTGTAGATAGCCTGTAAATAACAGGTTCCAGGAAATATAAAAAAAACACAAAAATGTCATGATCTGGCCTGTTTGCTCCCCCTTAATTGGTTATTTCCCTTGCCTGTCGTTTTTCCTCCCTGCCTCAATTATCATTTATTCCTCTCACCTGTTTCCTTTGGTTTATATTCAGTTTAGCCTGAGCATTCAGTGCTACAGTAGATCATTATTTGTTTTCAGTTAGTCGTTCTGTTCAGTCTGTGTTATTTCAAGCT